AAAAGCAGGTTATGCAATGGCTATGATTAAATAAAATAAAATATTAACTTGTTTAAAATCAACTACAAATGTATTTTGACCAAGGGAGCACCAAACATTTGCATACATTTGTAGTAGTGGGCTGTATGGCCAAAAACACAGTAGAATTAAAAATCATTTTGTTAAGTACAGGGTGGCACAGTGGGTAGCGCTGTCGCCTCAGAAGGGACAGGGTTCGATTCCCCGGCCAGGTGACCAGGGTCTTTTCTGTGTGGAGTTCGCATGTTCTCCCCATGTTGGCATGGGTTTCCTCTCACATTCCAAAAACATGCAGTCAGGTGAATCGTAGATACTAAATTGGCCATAGGTATGAGTGTGAATGTGTCTACCCTGTGATGGACTGGTGACCCTCCCCTGAGTGTTTCCTGCCTTCCTCCCACTGAGCACTGGGATAAGTTCCAGCGCACCCCAAGGATAAGTGGTTTGAAAATGCGTGTGTTTATTAAGTATCGGCATTTAACATGAGCCGCTCTGACTTCATTTACATCTTAATCATTTAATTATGCAGACATTTTGAAAAATTGGGCCCACAACTTGGTTACCTACTCTCATAGCTACATAACTTACATATTTTGTAGTAGTTGTAGTAGTCAAATAATTTATAGAAAAAATATCGACTTATAAGTCTTTATTGTTGCCTTTTTATGCATATTTAATCTTCATTATCATATTTTAAGATTACTAACGATAGTAAGTCTAGGGTTTTAATGGGTTTCAAGAGTTCATTAGACGGGCAGCTATACTGCAGGGCAGTTACACTGCAGGTTGAACTGATTAAAGAGAGATACGAACATGGCACCAGTAGCAAAGCATTAGATTTCTCCACAGATACACCAAGACACTTCAAAAATATGAACGCAATCTCCTTTTTTTTGTGAGGAAAGCACAGATGCAGAAGAAAATCACTCCATGAACATAGATTGAATTCTGAAAATGTAGCCTTTGGACGCCTCAGGCAGACAGTTTCATTTTTAGTAGTCTGTGGATTTATTCCAAAGATATCTCCCAGCCCTGCTCTCGCTGTGTTTATTAGCAGAATGTTCTGGAAGCAGGCGTCATAGATATTGTGGAGGTCGTTTTTGTGTTAAATGTTGCGATTTTTGCTCCTTTCACTTCCCAGAAACCTGCTGAGAGGACCACACCTCTATCGGAGGCAAAGTGGTGATTACACTCTAAGAAAAGCGTCTTCCTGAGCTCGTCAACACCTTTCTAGCTTCGTTGGTGGCAAAATGTCAGCCTGCTACTTGCAAAGCTCCAGAAAGCTGCACTTTCAGCGAAGACTTCTACCATAAACTTCTTCCAGTGGAAGATGTTTCAGCCTTCGGACGCATTTTAAAATAGTTCTCACCTTAATTGTAATCGATCCAAAGTTTAATTATAGGTTTTTTTGGAGCTATGAAGCTAATGTAGCTAATAAGCAATGGAAGTGCAGCAATTAGCACTGTACAAACTGCATGTGTCAATCATCACAAATTTACCTCAAACCATGCTGCATTGTGAAGTAAAAGGACTTGCTTATAAAAAGGAAAGAAGTAAGTCACAAGTAAAAGTTTTTATAAACTATATAGATAACAGTACGTCATACAGCGTCAGAAACAACATAAGCAAAACTATTAGAGAATACTCAACAAACTGAGGTATGTGTGATGATGTAGGCCGGCAGTTAGCATAATGCTAATTGTTTGGGTATAAGCTTCCATCAGTTTAGGCCAAAAACTTGGTCAAAGATCGAGAAAAACAAATCATAACAGCAATGATATTACTAATTATCCTTAGCCCCCCTATTGGGTTTCTAATAGTATGTTAGCGCTAAGCTAACACTGGTAAACATGAACACGAACAACATGAATCTTTTTGCTGTTTGAGATTAAATATGAACATTTGAGTCTTGTAAAAGATGTTTCATATGTTTTTTTCTGATGCTTGTAACAGACATGAACATATTTTACCATACCCTGACACTGAGCTGCTGCTGTTTTCCTTTCCTAACAACCAATTGAAACCCCTGTTGGGCTGCCACTCATATACACAGTCAGGGATATATCTAGAACTTCCAGAAAGCCTAGAGTGAACTAAATTGGGCCCACCCAAAACATGAGGGGAAATCAAAACATGATTGGCTGATTCTACTGTAATTTCCTGATTATGTTAGCGTTTAGTCTGACAACTTAGGCCTTCAGTTCATCTCCTGAAGTCCTAACCAATGGGAGAGCTTGCTTGGCTGTATCTACCTAGAAACCACTGGGGAAAATTTCTGATTGGACAATTTTCTGTTGGGTTTATTTCCAACTAAAACTTAACAATGAATCAAGAACATTATTACAATAACAGAGGAGCTTAAATACAACAATTTTGATGATTCTTTGAAATAAAAAACTAACTACAAATTAGTCAGTAGGTGTCAATGATTACAGCAATCATTAGATGTCCTCTGAAGGTCCAGAAGGCTCCGAGGGCTTCCATTACCTGTTAGCTACTTTAGCTTCATGAAAAACTAAAGAAATATAAACCCAGATTTTGGATACCAAATATACCTTGGCTAAACCACTACATTTTGAGTAGGGGAAACTATGTAAATGGGATGTTTTGCTGAGTGATTTCTCTAACAGCCTTTGTTTTTAGACGGTGGAAGTTCACCGCGAGTCTAATAAAATGTGGTTTAGATGGTTTCCTCCTCAGCGGATCAAAACTAATAAGTACGTTGCCAAGGAGTAAATCTTGGAGGATTGCTCCTCAAGGAAATGTGAAACGGGAGAACACTGGCTGTTCAGGGGGGAAAGCGGGGGGGCGCCCGCTGATAACGGCAGGCCTTCATTGCATTATATATCCAAGGTTGCGTTGTCTATTGATTTTCTTCTGCGACCAAGAATAGAGTGCTCGCTCAATTTGGACTGCATTGTACTCGCATTGAGTGATGTGATGCAACGCGAGGAGCGCCGTTAAAACTGGCACCTCAATCTTTCGTCCTCGGCAGTTCCTTTTATGCAGGTTGACATTACCATAGAGCACTTCATAAAGAGGCTATGGGGACATCTCAAAGGGAAATAAAGACTCCGCCGAACATTGCAAAACAGGAAATAGCGTAGTAGTGGTAGTAGTGTGCTTAAAGTGCACTAGTTTGACTCACTTAGTGTCATTTTTTCCAAAGCCATTTCCTTGCCACCTAAATCAAAGCAATCAGTGATTCCTGTGTTCAGTGAGGCCGCTGGGATAATTTGTCACGAAGTGCATGAATTGCTCATTATATAAGAACAATAACTATCAGTGTAATAACATCCTGCACACGTCCTGGTCTCTAAATTGAATCGTAAAGAATGGGGACGTCAAGCTAGCTTAGATTTGAATTCGGCACATCCAGCCAGAGCTGGAGTGAATAATGTTAAGACAGTTGCTTTGTGCTCTTAGCCTTAGCCAGTGAGCAATGCAGGTCACGGCACAACACAGAGAGTGAGGTGTGTGTGTGTTGGGGGGGGGTATAGACAGACAGCTGTAGTGAATACGAATGGCAGCTGTGGCTACAGGGTTAAGAAACTCGATTACTGCGATAGCATCAGAATACACAGCGATTACCACCACACACACATACACATACACATTCACACCCCACATGCTCAGACTGCAACCCCGAAACCAGCCCGAGCGTGACCAACTTGAGAAGAATCAATGCCGATCCGGCGCAACATCTCATCAGAACAAAACACGTCTGGATCTCGCCCCCCAGCCCCCGGCCCATTAGTGCCACTCAAACAGGTGTGGCTGAGCAGAACTCCCACTCTCCACTAGCTCAGTATTTGTCTTTCTTTCTTCTTTTTTTTGTTTTTCCTTCCATGTGAACAAAAATAAAAATTGCGCTAAAATGTAGCTTCTGTGTTTTTGTATGGCTGTCAAGCAATTAAAATAATTGTGATTAATCATATTAGCTTACAGTTATTTTAATCATGTTTTGTCTTAATCACATTGTGTCCTTTTGCTCTGATTGACCCTTAATTATGGCCTCACAGCAAGAAGGGACTGGGTTTGATTCCCCAGCCGGGCGACCAGGGTCTCCTTTCTGTGTGGAGTTTGCATGTACTCCCCATGAATTTCCTACCACAATCCAAAGACATACGGCCAGGCTTGTGGGATATACAACCTAGGTGTGAATGTGTGTGTGAATGTATATGTCTGTGTGTCTGCCCTGCAATGGACTAGCGACCTGTCCAGGGTGTTTCCTGCCTTCTGCTCAATGACTGCTGGGATAGGGTCCACCACCCCCCCGTGACCCAGGAGGATAAAGCGACTTAGATAAGCTGCTCTAAAATGCAGGGGTGTGGCTAAAATAAGACTCTGCCTATAGACTAAAACTCTGTGTTGCGGTAGTGACATGAAAACATAGCACAGAATTTTTTGAATGTCTTTTTTATTTAAAAATTAAATGATTGTTTAAAAAAATGTGAAAAAATTTAGGGGGTTAGGGTTCAGGACAGACACCTCCTCACAGAAAGTGCCCCATAAATAATGTTTGTATGTTGGTCCATGTATGTATATAAATATGCTGCAAAACATACCGTTCATCCCAGTCCATAAAGTGCATATATGAGCTGCAGAAACGGCCTGTTTTAAATTCACTGTTTCTGTGATGCCACTAAAACCTACACATTCACATTTATCAGCCAGTTCAGCCTAAAGCAGTTCAGCTCCGCCCATTGGTGCTGAAGTTATAAGGTGTGTTTCAGGTTGGACTGCTTTTTGAATGAGTCACAACAATGCACAGGGTCTTAAAAGCACAGTAACAAAAACAGCCTGGAAAAATGAATTATGACTTGTTGGTGCTGAGGAGAGGAATAAATGTGGTTTTCAGGTGGAAAATATAAAATTAATAATAATCACATTGAACACTACACTTTTTTTAAGAGAAATGTGTTTGTCCATGACGAGCCCTTCAAAAAGTAAAAAAGTCTAAAAAGTGCAACATCACTTACATCAATAACGGTCCACTGTTCCACCACGATGGCATCATAGGTTGTGCTTGCGTTGGAGTCTCCTTCCTGGAAGATGAATACGCTGTCAATGACCTTTGGCGGCTGATCTGCGGGGGGAGAGAAGAGGAAGTCAGAGAGGCTCTCTCACTCAGAGGTGCAAACAGGGGTCACATGGGTCGTGGGGTCAACTCACTGTAACTAAGCTAACAGGAAACAGCAGTGAAGTCCGGCAAAGCATACTGAAATGAGAGAGCAATAAAGTGAGGGAGGAGAGAGCTAAAGAGAGAGAAAGAAAAACAAAGGCAGAGAGAGAGAGGGGTAATAAAGAAGAAAGTGGAGAAGAAAGACACCTGGGGGTGCCGTTTCGTCTATTCCCTCAAAGCGAAATAGGTCTTTAACTCGTGACAGACGGCTCTAATTAAGAGCGTCCTTACGTTATGAAACATGAATATTGGAACGTTTTCAGTGTCATAAAATAAAGAAGCCGCGTGAAGCTCGTTTTCAAAAGGAAGCCAAGCGTCTCAGGCGGCTCCCGCTGTCCCCATGCTTGGCCCTGATTTAGAGCCATCGCTGTGTATGCACAGTTAATAAGCTCAGCAGGGCTTTCGGAGACGATGTATGTTCGTGAGGGAGTCTGCTCTCGCGTCCTCCTGTTTCCAGGGGTTAAATTGGGCCAGAATGATCCAAAATGGTGTTCCGGCACCTTAGTTATCTTTGAAGCAGGCCTGTGCCTGGTGACGGTAAACTGAGTTACTGCAGTGACAGCCCACAGTAATGGTAAAAACACACTGTCAGTTTAAAAACCCATTCATTTATTGATTGATTTCATTAAAACCATAGAAAGACAACACAGTAACACTTTATTTGATCCCTGCCTTATAACACTGACATAACCATACTATGAACGTGTCATACATGTAATATTCTGTCATGCATTTTCATGTCCCGTTAGTTGTTTCAATAATATACAGGTTCATCCAGTGTACCAGGTGAAATTCAGGTATGGTACTGTTATATCACAAACAATCTCAGAAAATGCAACACACAAACAGTGCAAAGCACGCTAATGTTAGCCTGTTTTGCTAAATGGCTGAGTCTGAGGTGTTTCATGTTTCAAATTAAAATGAAAATGCAGCAGACCCTCGATCACCTCCCCTGTCTAGTCTGTTATATCTGAAATAATCCACTTTGTTTTCGGGGTAGCTGAAACGTAAAGGAATTGCTCGTCTTTGGGATTAGCCTCAGCCACCTTGGTCAGCTGCATCAGACAGCATCATGCTCTCCCAGCATTGTCCTTGCAAACAAGCTGTGGATCAGCTGGTAAGCATGAATAACTGTAATGTTTTCCAAATTCCAGAAGTGTCTGACGGTCGGAGGGGTGAGTAGATGGGACATAGCCATGAGACAAAGCTCAAATTTCCTGTTCCACCTTAAATGGTGCAGCAGTTATATTCTAGCACCTGTAAAGGTGTCATGCCACCTCCTGCTATGTTCAGTAAAGCCCATTACTATGTCCAGTATGCAATGTTACACTATACTTCAGATTGATGAGGTCGCAGGTAAAGTTTCCTTCGGATCTCTCTTCCATGCACATCATGCTTGTATAAGCAAATCTGTACAGATAACTGTGCACCACCACACATGTGTCAGCCAAGCCTTCTTGCAGGTCCTTTGCTGTCATACGGGGGTTTTGCTTTACCTTTTTGTCTGGCCGACAAGCTATTCTATTTGAGAATTCTCTTGGTCTTCCAGATGTTGTCTGACCTCCACAATTCTCCTAAGCTGCCAGTTCTTAATGACATTTTGCACAGTGGAAATTGTGAGCTGGAACTGCTTTGATACCTTTTTTATCACCTTGCCCTGCTGTGCAGGCATCAATTAGCTTCAGTTTTAGAACAAGGTTTGAAGAGTCAGAGAATTTATCACACTCTGAAACTGTCATCAGCTAACAATTCCTAATGACAATTCTTGACTTGCCTAATCAGTCCTACAGAGCAAATTAAGGGCATCCACTCCCAGGAATGATTCTGGGCTTGTTTAGGGGAGGGGTTCATTATTGCTCATTTGCTTTCACACACAAGAGTTCCATCCAAACCGTGGATCAATGTCAGAATTCCATATGTCACTTTTCTGTGTGCAAGTTTGCAAACTGGTAGGCACCAGCTTGATCCACTTAAGTAGCAAAGGCCAGTGGTTTTTAGATAATTGGCATTTCAACATGCAGGAATGAAACTTGAAAAGGAAAGTGACACAATAAGACAAAGCAGTCACATTACAAAATGTGATACAAGGCTGGAAAGCAGCTTTCACACTTGACCAAATGCACCAAACATGCAGAGCAAGCGGTCCTGGCTCTGGAAAAAACCTCTAGCATGAAAATGCCCAAAGTTCTGAGACTTCACAACTGAAAGGGAGTCCAAACTTTTGCACATGACGCCATTATTATTCCGTTTTGTTCTCAACAAAAGAAGTAATTTGGCCAAAGGAAGCATATAACTGTAGCTAGTTAGTCGGTTTGGTACTTACACGGTGGAGCCTTGGTGATTAGCTGGCTAACAAAGTCAATTTCATAGCTGCCTAATATTTCACAGCCTCCTCCTCAGCTCATTATGAAGAGCCCCCCCTCCTCCCAAACTCCAATTTAACCCCCGCCTGCTACTCTTGTTATCCTGGGTCGAGCATCCTCTCCCAGTGCTTGCTTTCTCATCCTGGTCCCTCCATCTCTACTCTAATGCTGTTTGTGCTGCTTGTGTCTGCTCGCCTGAGCCTCTCCAGATTTCATTAGGGAAGTCCGGGAAGAGAGAGGGGGCGGGAAAATGAACGTGGGCTGGCCTTCATCGGCCAGACTGGAGAGAGAGAAAGACAGAGAGAGAAATGGGGAGGACAGCCACTGCCTCTATTCTCCCATCAGAAAAACCCATTTAAAGCTCGACTTACTCAATTGAAGACATCTCGATGCCCTTTTCAAACAGGGGCCATTGTTCTGGCCACTATACATCAGATGTGTTCGCCTCGGGGGGCCGTAATTGGAAAAGTCCACTTGGGAGATTGCCTCAGCTCTTACAGGCAGACACCGACGTCTCAGGCAAAGCATCTATAGCATCTATAGACCCACAGAGTGTCTGTTCAATAAAGCATCCAAGCAGCAGGAGGTGCTGATGGAGATGGTCAACAATGGGACAAGGAGTTGTGCTGCAACTATTTTTACTATTGTTTACTTCTGTAATTGATAATAATTTGGTGAAAAATCAAATGTACACAATTTTTCACTTTACCCAGATATACTCGATCAGCCAAGACATGTTTCGCGTCCAAATTTTGCTTCTTTAGTTTAGCGTTGAAGCTACGAGGCTAAATTTGCTTACAAACACTAGAAGTCAATAGTCACCCAAAAACTTGTTTGTGAGTACATCCCTAGAACTTTTTCTCAACCAGCTTTAACAGCATCCAGAACTTCATTAAGGTCGCTCAGACAGTTTTAGAGCACAGTATGACTTACTGTGAACTATAAAAATGAAGAAAAATCAGAATTCGGCACAAACATCCTGTTGTCTATAGTGGCTGCTGCTGTACTGTGAGGTTTTGTTCATGTTTATAGTTCACAGTAAGTCATACTGTGCCCTTAAGCACACTGACAAGTCTGGAAGACCTTAATGAAGACTGGGATGCAGTTTCCAGGAGAGAAGTTCTATGGATTTTTTTATGGAAAAAAGTAGATGTGTTATTTACTTCTCGTGTTTGTTAGCATGTTAGCCTTGTAACTCCAAATTTGGACACCAAACATACCTTGGCTGATCTACTACATCTGGGATAAATGGAAAATTGTGTAATTTAGATTTTTTCACCAAGCCACAGATATTTATTCCAAGTACTTTTAGAGCATTGCTATTGGTCCATTCATCATGAAATTTGTTGTGTTCAAATGATGCAAAACATTAAAAATCAACAAAAAATGGACATGTTTTTCTTTAGACATCGACAATATACAGAAGCCCCTATACCTCTTATAGAGTACTGCAATCTGCCAGAATGACCACATGTATCAGACTACCATTAGAATGCATTATAGAGCACTTTTTAAACAAGATAGATGTGAAAAATCCACATTGGGGTTAGTTTCTTGCTTTATGAAGCAATGAAACAAAGAAAGCCATATCATTCCTACACTTACTCTCATCTGCAGTTTGCTGGAACTGACCACATATGAGCATTACAGAGCACAGGTCTTCAAATCTAGATCTTTTATTCAGTTTCCGGACCTGGATTTTGCAATTGCTGGTATTTGAATTTGACTAGTCACCCACCCAGCAATTACAAAATCCAGCACTGGAAACTAGGTTTGAGGACCTCTGTTACAAAGCCCTATAGAGTACATTAATCCTTTCCAGGGGCTTATTAAAATTTTTGTCCAATTATTATGAGTGATTTTAGCGCTCAGTGACCCCACTCCGTAATTTTGCGTGGTCTATGATTTGTGGTGGAAGTGTTGTTGCTCCTAGCTTCCTAGATGCTTTCATTTCACAATAATAGCACTTACAGTTGTCTGGGGCAGATCTAGCAAGGCAGAAATTTAACAAACTGACTTGTGGCAGAGGTGGCATCCTATGACAGTGCCACTGTTTCTATGGAGATTGCGTAGTTTTACACACTTGTTAGCAATGAGTTTGGCAGAAACACCTACCCTCAATAATTAGGAGGTGCGTCCACATACTTTTGGCCATATAGTGTATGACCAGATTATCATATGTACTTTAGTTTTAAGCAAACAAGTTTCTTCCATAATTGACATTCCTTTGCGACTAATTAACTTTGTTGACTAGTCTTCACAGCCCTACTGAGAAGGTCCATCTGACGGAGCGGAGCAGCTGATGGAGTACCACATGCTAGCCTGCCTCGGTCATCAAGCCTTGACAGCTTGATTTAAACATGTGCGTGAGAGAGCCATGCACTGCTTGAGACAGCTTATGTATATTTTAATAAAAAGCACAGGTACAGTGTAGGTAGCAATGCACCTGGATTGAATGTGACACTTCATTCATGAGGCCAAGCTTCAGGATGGTTGCAGCAGTGGGGGTTGCTGGGCAGATTTTAGAGAGGTCAGCGTTTGGGAAATCGCATGTTTTATGCAGGATTAATCTCCGGTATGAGTGTATAACCTTCCCTTGGAGATGAATGCCAGGCTTTGGTGGTTGTAGGTGTGCTATGTGTTTGTGCATCCGTCATCCCTCCCTCTCTTTCTCTTTCTCTCTTTTCTCTCAGCAAATTTAGCGTCACCTAAACTGCTTCATTTACAACCGGATTTCTTTGTGTCTCCATAAAAAAAAGCCGGTCGAGGTATCTCCAAAAAATCCTTTCAGAGCTGTATAATACCTTATTGGAAATTCATATGCCGAATACCAGTGCCTGAGTGGCGTCTGAATATAGAAAGCACAGCTTGAATAGTTATGCATATGAATGTCTCACAGCTGTGGATACTAATCCATTTCTGAGGAGGGTGGGGGAGGCAAAAGAACTCAGACGGAAAAGGAACCTTTTTAGTCCACATTGTCGGTATCTTTTCTGCCGGGAATGGTGCGGTGGGGCCCTGTGGCGGTCCGTGTGGCTCCTGGTCGCCGCATGAATCTTTAATCTCTCTCGTCTCCCGACGCAGCCGAACAGTGGGCTGAGGGCGCCGCATCTGCAAAATTCAATAAGGAGCTGATATCCGACCCTTACCGGAGTCTCCGGCAGGCCCCTGTGCCCCCGCGGGTACACCCAGTTCTGTGCCGGGCGTTAAATATACCACCCCCCTCCACCCACTCTCCCGCTTGTTCACCATGGAAACGTGTCCCGGAGGGGGAGAGGGGGCAAGACGGGGCCATTCTAGAGGTAGGAGACTCACGAGCCGCCTCCGCGTGTCAGCTAGATGGCGCCGCAGCGGGAGGCAGGCGGAGAATGAGGTAGCAGAGCGGAACGCCATACAAGCAACAACAACAACCCCCGCCTAGGTGCATAAACCAAAGGGGGGAAGGGCGAGGATGTTGAAATGAAGTGATTTAGTCCCTCACAATGTAAGGCTAAAGTATAAGAAGTGGCAAAAAGCAGAAAAACGCGTTCAATGGGTCTTACGAAACCAACTAGATCTAACTTCTAGCAGTGCTGAGTAATATGAGAGAAGCCAGTAGCCGACATAGCTGAGTTTGCAGGGCATCTAAATCTTAATAATAACTAATTATTATTCGGGGGGGGTGGCATAGATATAAGCACTACTATGTAACCTATAAGTGCACCAGTATTAAAAAGGAAAAGTTTGGGAATAAACTTTAAGTTGACTTGACAAAGCTTTTGCTACGAAATTCCAAGTGGTTGCTACAGTGTTGCTGGGGCATTGCTATGGTATCCAAGTTGGTTGTTAAGGTTGCTTGGCCACTGATATGGGGTCCCACATGGTTGCTAAAGTGTTGCTAGGCCATGCTACGGTGTCCCGGGTGGTTGCTAAGGTCTTGCTGGGTTGCTGCTATGGTATCCCAGGTGGTTGCTAATATGATTGTATATGTGTGTGCTAGTATGTATTTAAGCCTGTACGTAGTGTCTAAGAGTGAACACTGTCCTGAAAAGGTTTATGGTTCTAGCTTGAAAACTGGGACCCGAGAAAATGAAAACCGAAATCCAAAAAAAGCATAGAATAATAAAATGAAGAACAGTAAATTAGTTTTGTCAAGCTAGTGTCTTAATTGCTACCTTTAGAGTTTGCTAGGATAACGTTAGCTAGCTAGGTAGCTAACACTAGCATTATTAGTATGTAAACTAGGACTGTCCCACTTTCACTCTCTCAATCTTAAATAAACAGTTTCTGTCTCTGCAGACTTGAAGAACTCATCAGCATCTGAAATTTATTTCTAGCCAGATTAATCTTAAAAATAGCCAAAGAGTTTGGCCAGCGAGACTTGTTGTGCATTCCCATAATCCTCTGGGTTTCTTTGCTTTTCTTATAGAAACTAAAGTTGATTTCATGTTACTCAAATTTATCACCAGCCAACATTCTCAAAAACCACGGCAGTACAGTAGAGCAAGCTGGAAAAGGTCCATCTCAGGCTTTTGTTTATGATAAATTTACCCATTGCAGATGGCCACTAAAAATGGGGTGATTGTCTGTCTTTATGAGTTGATGAGGAGAATCTGAACACTCAGTGAGAAAATTTATGCTATGGCACCCCTCTTCTGAAATTATGTTTTGGAACATTCTGGCTCCACCCTCTCATTATCATCATCACCTTTGTCTTGTTTTTTCCTGGTAGTATATATGTGTAGGCCCCTCCTTCAATGTATCTTGGTAAGTGAAATCATCTTAAATCTAGTCAATACTATATTTCTAATATTTATCATTCTAAGATTGATGTAGGAATATTCTAAAATTATTTAACCTTTTCGTAACTTATTTCTTCTTTTTGTATCTAGTGAAATTGTATTATTCTATTGGCAGAAAACTTTGCTTACTTAAAAGTGTTATTTCTTGCTATAAGCCATATTATCTGCATTATAACAAGCAAAATAAAGACAATTTTCTAGATATAATTACTTAAAACAAGTAAAACATCTAGAGATAAGTTGGATAATCTTTTAACACACTTCAAACAGTCTCAAAATGAGAAATATTACATATATTGACAATTTAAGATGTTTTCACTTGACAAGATACATATATTTTTTGTTGTCTATTGGTTGCATATTGTTCTGTGCATGCATCCATTCAAATATTTTGTTACGCCATTGGGCTAATGCTAACTGTTGTCAGTTATGTGATTTGTGGACTGTTTTGTTTTACTTTTACTTTGTTTTTTCACAGTAAATGGCATATGGTTCCACAAACTGGAATTAATAGCTTTTACAAGAATTATAAGTTTTTATTTCAGTGCTTCAATAATGTCATTTGTGCTAGAACTTTTCTAGCACCAGTGCTACCTGCTCAAAAGGTTTACATACAGCCCTGCATGTGTCCAGTTTTCAGTATGTGTTTCTAGCCTTGCCTCATTTCCTTGTTTTGCCTTGTCTCTTATTAATTCCTAGGTGTTTCTCACATAATATGCAGATAAGATTCAGCGGGTATCGGTGGGATTTTCATTGTGTGCTTCTTCACCGGAAGAGCTGTGCCGATGTTTGCAGTGAGCCCACACATTCAAAGTGCACCGGGGAGAGTTCCTCTCATTAGGAATTCAAAGACTAGACTGAAAAAAAAACCCAGCAGCTAAATTTGGAGCGATGTGGAGCACGTGATCTGCGGTCTGATAATGCATGCGTCTTTGCCTTCTCCTGCAATTAGACGCCTCTAAAAAAGAAAGAAGACACGCTCGTGGTCCTTTGATATCACGTCGTTCCTCAACAACTCGGCGGGACTCTTCAAACGCCTCCCTCCTCTTTCGCGCTCCTCTCTCGCTTTTGCTGCACCTGCGCTCCACTCCGAGCCAAACAGGTCCTTCGGCGCTAATTGGCGGGGGTTATCCTGAAGTACTTTCATTTTAAGCACAGTTAGGTGATTTATGCTTCTCTTCAGCGACTATCAAGTCGGGCCAGGATTGCCACAGGGACACCATCCGTTGCAGGTTCTATTGTGGCTGCTCAGAGTGAGGCCTTGAAAATTATCTAATGAGAAGTTGAGGTTGATGTATTGCTGTTGTCATGAACATTCTGGTGCCATATTGTTTCCACCAAAAGGTCTGAAATATTCTCAATGATGACAAATGTCTTCTTTTAAGCAGTCCACCAGCTTTACCCACCCGCACAAAGCTTCCTACATCAGGCCAGCCCCGAACAACATGAGGCCTGACTCAAATCACTCAGCTCTTTCTACTTAATAGAAATGCAGTCAAATAACACCTCTTTGTTTCTGATGCCTTTCCTGATTGCACATTCAGAATGCACTGAGCTGTCTGCACTCAGGTAAACTAAATCTCAAAAGGCATTACGGTGAAATGCTTAATTATTGAGACAGAAAGTAAGGCAGGGTGCGCTAATTTGATCGAGTTAATTGTATGTTATAATAATTGCTGATCCTTTCATTTGGAGGAGACGAATTAATGAATTTAATGTTATAATTGCTTGCAAAGTAAAGATGATGGAAAAGACTGTGGAAAGTGATCAAAATAAGTTCCCTAAATGGAGTACAAACAAGAGAGTGAAGGTCTAAGACTATAGGTGAGGTCTACCAAGTCATGGGTTTAGCCTTAAATCAAGAGTTATTGCTGTCATTTTGCTACACAATTGATTTACACTATACATTATTTAAATGCAATTATATAATTGCACTGTTCACTATATTCGATTTACAGGTTTAAGACTTCTTTACTCTTTGTTTCAAAGTGAAGAAAATGACCAAAAATACAGCAAAAATGTAAAGGGTTTTCATCAAATTCAAATCATAAAAAAAAAAATTCCACTTTTCACTCAGAGTGAGGAAAGTGGAAAATTTCTCTGCGTGTTTCAATGAGTTTCCAGAGAGAAGTAATTCCCATAAATGTACACTGTGCTTTTGTTACTGCCAGCAATATTTGCATCTTCTAAGGGTTAAACCTTTCTCTGACCCCCATCCCCCACGTTTTAATGCACTAATGGAAAACCCTCACCGTTGTCGTTGCCCAGATGGAAGTAGCCATCCACCAGGGATGCCCCGCTGTTGAAGTGCTGAGTCATGTGGTCCAGCCAGTTGGCCTCGACGGCACGGGCCCCCTCCTCCTTCTGCTGCACCCTCAGGGGGACTTTCACTGTGTAATACTTCAGCGGGTTCCGCTGGCCACCCGGGTAGTTGAACAGGCCGAAAAGCTCAGCGCCTGTGAAGGACAAGAGAAAATGCTCTTAGCAAAATGCAGCACAGATGTGCTTCATGGTGCGTTTAGATGTTCCTCATAAACTCGTAAATTTCTCAGTTAACCTCAAAAAAGTTGCGCTTGATTGACTGACAAGTTCCAAACTTGAACAAACAATGTGTTGCCCAACTTTGCAAGTTACCACCAGCCAGAACATTTTATTATACCATGGCGACACAATAGACCAAGCTAGCTCTGGGCCATGTCAGCACATATACTTACTGTTAATGTGATAAAATTGTCAGTCACTGATGACCACCCAAACGCATGTTATGGTTAAGTGGCAATTTTCTGTATATACGAGTTGACGAGGGCTGTCTGAGTGCACAGTGGAACAATCCTCTCCTGGAACATGCTGGCTCTGCCTTCTCGTCTTCACTATCACCTGTGTCTTGTTTTGTCTGGTTGTGTGCTGTATTTATTATCTGTCTTTCTATCTGTTGGCTGCAAATTCTTGCATGTATCTAGTCTGCGCCATGTCTAGCCTAGCCTAGTTCCTTGTTTTGTCTTGTTTCTTGCTAATTTCTAGTCCTTTTCCTAGTTTGTAGTTTTTAGTCCTGTTTGCTAATGTTTTCCTGTTTCATTCCAGTTTTGAAATTGTCACGTTTTTATTTATGTGGCCTTGCCTATGTACTGAACTGAAATTATTTCATTGAAATGTGAAAGTATAACTATGAGCTAGATGAAGCTAATGGCTAGAAATGAACATACAAAACAAAACAAGGAACAGTACAAGTAAAAGACGAGGTATGCAAGGCAAGACCAGCCTAAGCTAGGCTTGACATAACATTACATGTTATGGTCAAATTATATGTTTTGTTCATTTTTAAAGTGAAAATAAGTTAACACATCCTCTAACAAAAAACACATATGTTCCAGTATGTTCAACATACTGGAAAAGAATACATATGTATATATAGATGTACCATAACATTTTGCGTAGGTCACATCTTATGTTTTCTTTCCATTATATTCAGCAAATGAACAGTAATTGTGCATTACAATGTGCAAAAGTGTGTCCTCTGTACAGAATGTGTTAACTCGTGTTGTGTTATGTGTTAGCAAATCAACAAAACGTCACTTGACCAGGGGCACACAAACTTTTTGCCTGTGCCTTGACTCCTGCTATGCCCTTTGGCCATGCCGTTTGGAATAACCACAATAAACAGACCACATTTTCATACAGAACGGCATGCGTGTTTTCGATGAGTCCGGCATAAGGGCGCCTGGTTGAAACCCATTACAGACGAGAGTCGAGATGTTAAAGGTGCCCTTTATTCCAGAGGAGCCAGAGAGCATCAAATATTGAATAATAACTGTGCTAGTGGTGCTCCTTGTGACCAGGTCTATGGCTCCAGTTCATAGCTATTCAATTATGCTCTGGGCAGCTGCGGCCTATACAAGCTCTTGCTCTCAGGATGCAGTTCAGCTATTAATTGATCAAATTTCCAAAAGGAAAGGAGGGTAGCTAATTAGTTAAATCAGATGATGCACTGCAAAGCCTGAATGAGCGCTTAGGACAAGCAGGCCAATGCAGAATCTGCCTGGTGACCGTCTGGTCCTCTTCAATATTATTCCGCTTTTGCTGAACACCAAATTAGCTTTTACGTCTGAAAGAAAGTGCACCTAATGGATTCAAATAGGCTATGATGAATTTGTTTGTGTTCTCGACTGGACCACACTCAAGCTCTCCCTTTTCAAATCCATACAAGAACTAATGGCTATTTGACCGAAAAGATAAATACAGATGCACTTTGGCTCTGGCAGCGGCCGTTCGGATTGCCACTGGCTGCGTCGAGCCATTTACCGTCTCTCTCAGGACCAATGCAAAGCAAATGAGGGAACAGGATGTTTTCCACCCGCCCCACACACACACACACACAGTCACACACGCGATCAGAAACCGTCATGCCTCGCTCGCCGCGCTCCTCCGTCAAACATACAGTCAGGGAAAATGAATCATTAATTGTGATTTCTCTTCGGCTCTGGATGAGTGATGTGACAGGCAGGCAGTAAATTCACAGCTCTGTCAGAGGCCCCGTCCCACGACCAGCTGTGCACATATCACCACACCAACTTCCAACGCAATTACGCTAGCTAAGAGCGCCATTAAAAATGCCCATATCTTTGCAACATCTTAGATGAAAGAAGTAGTTCAGTTGAAAAATCTAATGAACACGATTTTCCCCTTACGCCAAACGTACTTCATCAGCCGAGTTGCGATTGATGTCTGAAGTTGTACTTGTTGCACAGCAACTACAGTGCTAAAGTAGCTAGCAAGCAACAAGAGCTTATTTACATGAATTAGCATTCCGCAATAATGCCCTGTCATAATGGCACCTGTCAGTGAAATTTCACAACCGCAAAAACATTCATTTCAATGAGCGAAGCTAATGATGGGCCCCTTACTGGACCTACACTACATGTCCAAAAGTATCCAGATGGCTACTTTAGGGTGCACCCATTGTTGACAGTGGAGTTCTTTTTTTAGTACTTTTTCCAATTATCTCCCCAATTTAGTCGTATTCAATTCCATCCACTAGTTAGGACTCCTCCAATCACACGACACCACCAGAAGGGCGAAGGCTAGCACATCATGTGACGGCAGCCACCACATCTTTATGAACTACTGCTAATGCAACCTCATTGGACAGCTGGACGTGCTTGGAGGAGAACGCTAGCTGCTAGTTCTGTTACATCGGCTAACAGATACCTGAGCTGGCTAGCGTCGCGCTGAGTGATGGGGGCAGAAGGAGGGCCTTCCTACCCACCCAGAGAGAGGCCAATTGTGCTGTCCTGGACTCCTGATCACAGATGGCTGTAGCATCACCAGGGACTGAACTCACGATTTCCTGATGACGTTTAGACAGTTGCGCCATTGGGAGCCCCAAGACCCCAAAAGCATTGCCAACAGAATGGGACCAATCCAGATGAATGTGCCCAATGCCAAGCACCTACTACATAAATTCCCCCCCTGGGATTTTGTATCTGGTTCCCAGAATTTTTCAAGTGAAGCTAGTGGAGTCGAAAAGAGTCCATTCCTTAACTACAACATGTCTGGGAGCTGTTGTCGACTCCTGGCCAGTGACTCTGAAAGTCAAAATGCTCGGGGTCGACTCTTCAACTGTTTTTTTTTATCATAATTGGCTCGAGGGGCATTTTGAAAGAGGCGTGAGTAATACAGGAAAGAGTTTGCGTTTGAGTAGCGTGAGTTTAATTACCAGACTTTATGATATGCCAACGCTGCTCACCAGCCACTATGAGCACATGATTAGGGATGCAATAAACAAGGATTAGAAACGGTCCAAGGAACGAAAACCAAAAATAAACAATATTTTGTTACTGAACGTTGTGGAAAAGAGCATGAAGTTGAAGTTTGCTTCCTATTTGCCAGTTTCTTATTCGAATTTTCCGTTCCACCGTAAATGATGCTGCAGTTCTTATTATCCGCTTATTTGCATCATGCAATACACCTGTCTGAAAGCATCTGAACCTGAAATGTTTCTCCACTTGATGGAGTTGATTCCTTGACTCCATTTCATTTTAACCAAGACAGCGCATGGGATGGAGATAAAGGACTGCAGCGGAGATTAAAACATCTTAAACATTTTGAGTGCCTACAGACATAGTGATGATGAAAATTCATAGATTATACCAGGTAATATCAGGTAGTCTGAGAAAATCATTACTGTAGTCATAATTCTTTGAAAATGAATCATTATTAACCAGTTAACCAGATTTACAATAAAAAATATCTTCATTCTAAGGCAGTCGGATGTTATATTGTTCCTCTTTTCACGAGGCTAAGGTTGGCTTCTCATTTGAATTTTACATTCTACCTTAAATAATACAGAGGTTACCTTTTATGGTGCTTAAAGAATTAGTTAAGGATGGTTTAATCTCTGTCATTTCCTTTATCCCTGGTTCTGGCGCTGTCTTGGTTAAAATAAATGGGGTCAAGGAGTCAATGCTTGGGGAGACAGCACAGTGCGGCTTGATAAAATAGCACGACTCGAAGCAGAATCATGGCCTCTGCTGTGGCTTCTTCCAAGCTGATTCAACAATACATACACATGTATATATCCATAACTATATATCTACAACCATCTATCAGCATATACACCGATCAGGCATAACATTATGACCACCTCCTTGTTTCTACGCTCATTGTCCATTTTATCAGCTCCACTTACTATATAGGTGCACTTTGTAGTTCTACAGTTACAGACTGTAGTCCATCTGTTCCTCTGCATACTTTATTAGCCCCCTTTTACCCTGTTCTTCAGGGGTTAGGACCCCCATGGATCCTCACAGAGCAGGTACTATTTGGGTGGCGGATCATTCTCAGCACTGCAGTAACACTGACAAGGTGGTGGTGTGTTAGTCTGTGTTGTGCTGGTCTGAGTGGATCAGACACAGCAGCGCTGCTGGAGTTTTTAAACACCTCAGTGTCACTGCTGGACTGAGAATAGTCCACCAACCAAAAATATACAGCCAACAGCGTCCTGTGGGCAGCGTCCTGTAACCACTGATGAAGGACTAGAGGATGACCAACACAAACTGTGCAGCAACAGATGAGCTATCGTCTCTGACTTTACATCTACAAGGTGGACTGACAAGGTAGGAGTGTCTAATAGAGTGGACAGTGAGTGGACACAGTGTTTAAAAAAACTCCAGCAGCACTACACACACTAACACACGTACCAGCACAACACACACTAACACACCACCACCACGTCAGTGTTACTGCAGTGCTGAGAATGATCTACCACCCAAATAGTACCTGCTTTGTGAGGGTCAATAAGCATAGAAACCACATAAGCAAGTCTATTTAAAGTTACTTAACAGCTTGACAGCTTGGTTTGAGGCAGGTACATGATGATTTAGCCATGCAAGCAAGTTTTCATGATGCTAACTGGTGAGGTATAAACTTTTATAACTTGTTATTAGCCTCATAACTCCAG